AAAAAAGGCTGTACCTTTAGTCCTAGACAAAAAAAAAAAAAAAAAGTGTCATTCTTTACCCTTTAATAGGAAAAGGGGGAGGAATTTTTTTCTTCTTTTAGGTTTTGCCATGGTGTGTGTGTGTGTGTGTGTGTGTGTGCTCACCAGAGAGACTATGAGAGGGAAAGTGAGAAATCACCACCCGGGGGCATGGCCACACCAGTCACTTCCCTTCCATTCTCCTCCTGAGATTCTGGGCACATACCTACATGTGCCTGGCATGGATTTCAAACCACTGGGTCTGGGACTCAAACCATGGTTGACCATGTGGGAATCCAGTGCTTTAAATACTATGCCACCTCTGGTCCCAGGAATTTCATTTTGATGTGGTTGTTTTATTTGCCATAAATTAGCTACTACACAGATAACACATAATTCGTTTTTCATCTAAATGGCTAACACACTTTGGTCACAACTAAATTCCTCTTTGGCTGTCACCCCCCACTCCTTATGAAGGTCAGTCAGTTAAGAATTTGGACTACCTCCTTCCAGACTTCTTGCTTTGTGTCTGGCCATCGCAGTTGGTTCAGTTTAATGACCAGCTGATGACTGGTCACCAATTCTTTTAAATGCCTTGGACCACTGAATCTCTCTCTGCACGGGCTTCTGTTTGTTGGAGTACACCTTCAAATTCAGGACGCTTTTAGTTCTGCGTTAACCTTCACTTCCTGCTTGCGTGAGGCCTCAGGATCCGTGAGAAATCAGAGAAGGGATCCTTCAGCCTTTCCTGAGCACACGCACAGCCCAGCACATGCATGTGGTCCTTCCTGTAGGTCCCAGGACTGTGTCAAGAGCTTTGAGAAGGCCCTAGTGGTTATCATTCCTTGCGTCTCCCTTGTACGTTTCCTGAGGTACCTGTTTGTCCCAACCGGTGTCACGGCCTCGGCAGCTGCAGTGTTAAACAACGTGGCCAATCATTTTCCCATAAATGCCCTGGGTATTAGTGTTTTCCCCTAGTGCAGCTCCCAGTCAGGTTCAATGACGACAAAACCCCCCGTAGGGGCCGTTTCTAGGGAGCTGTAAGACAGGTTAACACTGACATCGTGCTGGGGATGAGACGTTTTGAGGGGCTCCCAACCCAGTGTTCTCCCCCCGGGGCTGGCAGGCTGCTGGTTTGCAGGCTAACCGTGCCCTGGGAGAGCAGGGGTAGGTAGAGTGAGCTAAGCTGCCACAGAACCTGCGCTTCTCACCGTGGTCCAGGCGATCGCACACCTGATTTCCAGAGCTTTGGAAAGGTCCATTTTGGCACCGTTGATAAAACGGATTCTGGGAGGTCCTCGCTCTGTCGTTCTGGGGCTGCCTTGTGTTTCCTCACTTTGGAAGGAGACCCACCCACGTCCAGAATTTAGTGGGAAACGTGGTACACTGCAGCGTGAGTGCACCAACGGGGTGGCCCTTACTTGGGCATCTCTGTCGATAATCTCCTACCAGAACAAGACCCAGAGCAGCCATGGCTTCCAGATTTCAGCACATCAGGAACTCCAGTGTTCCACGTGAAATTCCCACACTCACACATTGACAATGACTTCAATTTAAAAACAATTAGAGAAGACATATGAAAGAATTTATAACATAAAATAACCTGGACTTTTCCAGCCCAGCATCGTAATCTGTAGAGACTGCAAAAAGAGCAACCACACACCAGAGGATTATTTTGAGGAAGGCGTTGAAGGAAGAAAAAGAGACAGATCTTTGCTAGCAGATGGTATATCAGAGAATACAGTTGGGCAGGGCTGAATTGAGAAGGTTTTTGTGTGACTAGTGTGCTGGGCATTTGCTTTTCAACAATCTGAGTAGTTGACATGTAAATATTTTCTCAAAAATATTTAAAACCATACTGCTTCTGTTGTTATAGAGTCACAAGCAAAAATATTTTGAACATTATATTTAAAATTCAGTATTGTGAAACTTTGAAAGTTGTTTATGAACTGTCAAGAACTATAGAGTATGAGTTAAAATTTTTTGATATGTAAATGTTTGTGGAAAAATGTAAAAATAAATTAAAAAATTAAAAAAAGAAAAGCAAAAAAAAAACAAAAACCACACTATTGCACTAAAAATAACACACCCATAGCAAAAATGTATGGGTTGCAGCAGCAAGACTACAGATTACATCGGTGCTGTATGATTTTTTTTTTAAAACCAAATTAGCTGAGTTCAATTCAACCAACCTTTAAAGCTTCTTTTAAATGCCAGCTTATGCGCTCTCTGCTGCAGGGGTAAGATAAGGCTTGCTGCCCCACTTACACACTCCCCCAGCTTCTGAGCCACTTAGAGGTCTGCAGGGAAGGTAGGCATTTCTTCTCTTTTAGTCACCACACTGAATAAAGAATACCTGTAGACTGATTTAATTGCTAGTTTTAATTAGCCTAAAACAAGAGCGATTTGCTTAAATGCATCATTTTACGGTTCTCTGTTTAGGGAAGTGTGTGTGTGTGTGTGTGTGTGTGTGTGTGTGTGTGCTTGCATGCATGGGAAAAGGTAAGAAAGTGAACATGGAGACATCCTTTTGAGGCAAAGGGTCAGAGAGCCAAAATTCTGACTTGAATAAAAACCACCGCAGAAACTAGTATGGCATAATGGTCATGTCACTGGACTTCCACGTAGTCGGCCGTGGTGGGCCCGGTGGCTTAAACTCAGGTGCATGTGTGTGAGGGCCCCAAGTCCCGAGAGGAGAATGGAGGAGAGGGGACTGCCGTGTGCTCATCCCCCTGGAGGGTGTTTTCTCGCTTTCTGCCTCTCTGGTGAGAGCCATGCCCTATAGCAAAAATCTCAAGAAAACAAACACTGAAGGTGATGCCTCTTTACAGCGGAGTGCATCCTCCAGCAGCTTTTCCAGAAACGGAGCGCAGGAGGCAAATTCGTGGCATCTCTAAAAGTGCCTCGTGATGCCGGACACCTGCTCCAGAGTGGGATGGTGGGAAACGCGCTCCCCGAGAGTCCCGACGACCACTGACGACCACCTTCCAGTGTTCGCTACAGTCTAAAGCCGCTCTCGTGACCCGCCTGTCTGGGGGAAGGGTGCGTCTCTTCGTCCCAGTGTCTTGGAATTTCAAGACCACGCCTTGGTAGAAGTCCGTGCTCATCCATCGTGCCCAGGACGCTCCGGGTCCTTTCCTTACGGAACCTCGGGTGTCGGGCGTCCTCCCTCGATTCTCCCTCTTCTTCTAGGGCACCTATTGTTTGGATATTGGACAGCCTGGTCCAATTTCCTCCACCCGCAGCCCACTTTAAAACAAATTTCCTTGGTCTTCTTTTTGGTTATTATTTTTCAGCCTTGAAGCTTGTTACTAAATTTGTAATTTCTAAGTGCATTGTCTTGCTCTTCAAGAACTCCTTTTCAGTAGCATTCTAACCTTATTTTCTAGAGGCCTTATCTTTTCTCATCTCTCTGGAGATGGAATATTTTTCAGAGTCTTCCTATTATCACCTTCGGACTTTTCACTCATGTAGATGCTTTCTTCAGATGTCAGGTTACCCTTGCTGACGGCGGGGAGCTGTAAAGGCCACCTGTACCAAAGCTGCCCAGTGCGAGTCCCGCCTTGGGGCAGCACTTCTCCACCTTCACTTCCCAGGTGCTCCAGCAGTACGGGGTGTGTGTGTGTGTGTGTGTGTGTGTGTGTGTGCGCGCGCGCACGTGCTTGGATGCAGGGTATAGGGGCTTGGAAAGCCCCTCAGGTAACATTTGAGTACAGCCAAGATTGACAAGCAACACCAAAGCGTGCTCTGGCTGAAACGAGGCATAGACTATTCTTAGACTTTATTTTTTTTCTCAGGCCTGTGAGGGTCTTTACTCTCTAACCTTCTCCCATAGGACTATGTTCATTAAATCGCAGTTTGGTACAGCGCTGTCATTCCCAGCAGTGGGTAGTGTCTCCAGCCATGGGGTTATTTTGACTTTCTCCTGAGGATAAAACTCCAGGTTTCTTCCAGGGTAATGAGAGGCACGCGGGGGGAGGTGAGAAGGGGGGATTTGTGGATCTACCTGCATTTTAAAGACTCTTGACTAACAGGATGGCGGGCTCCTCTCTCCTTCAGGATCAGCTCAAAGGGACGCGCTGCTGTCAACCGTTGACCCTGCAGGGTGTTGTGCACCGAGACTTGAAAAACTGAGCTGTGTTCACTTTCTCCTCGGCCAAATTTGAATTCAGCGTTCATTGGTCAGGTTTCCAAAGTGGTGCCCCAACCTTCTCTCCATTCTGCCCATTCTTGAGGGGAGTTGTAACTTTTAAAAAAATTCTTTCATTCCATTTTTAGCAGCGTCAGAAGCATGTAAAGTTTGATGTGCCACTTTACCTAGCGTGACTGCCGTTCTTTAGGTGAGAAGGTGCACTCTGCGATATAAACCATGGCTTTCTATATACGTTTTCTTTTGGTCTGAGAAGTAAGCAGACCGCAGGGGTTGCTAGCAAAACGATCTGACAGTAATGATGCGCTAGGCAGGGCAGAAACGCAATGCGTCATTGCTGTTGTTGTCGCTAAGGCCCAGGGCAAGAAAGACGGAGGTCGGACCTACGTGAGTCTGTCGTGGGAGAGGAGGCGCCCAGCATGCCACGTGAACTGAGGGGGAGCTGCACGCCCAAGTCTTGCCATATAGATAAAATATTAGGCAAAGAGGCGCGTTATTGGCAGGGAGCGAGCACATATTTTACTGGCGGTCCACGGGTCTCTACGGCTCACAGTCATGTTTCAGTTGACCCAACTGTGCAAATCTGCATTTTTAGCATCTTTTGAAATACCGGCACATGTGACTGCGGCCGGCAGTCCTGCAGGACCTCAACCAGTGGCAGCTGAGGCACAGCCACCTTCCAGGCAGCGCAGTCTGCACCGTGCCCTGAGCGGCCCGCCTGGTCTCTGCAGGCATTGGGTCTGCAACTTCTGGGGGTGCAGCGGAGGCATTTCAAAGGAGACAACAACAGCAGCAATCCTGTTCGTGGCAGAAAAACCCTGCTTACGTCAGAAAGAATTAAAACATTTATTGGGCATAAATATATTACATATACACTACAGATACAGTTAGGTATTACATATAGCATAGTATTTGCAAAATCTATACATTAAAATTGATATGGCAGTTTTAATACAATGTATATGAAATAGTCTAAAATTTACAATACAGGAAAACATGATTTTTTTTTTTCTCCTAAAGTTGAAAAGCTTGGAATGTATGTCCAACAGTGAGGTAAAACATTTTATCTTTCAATTTAAAGAATTGTGCAAGGATAACATTCAAACACATTCAGTTAGGGCACTTTTCAATTTCGACATGAATACTGAATTACTGTAGCCAACAAAACAAGGTTAGAAAATGCCAACATTTCAAGTTGATAAGAACAAGGCAGATAATACGAAAAAAATCTTTTAAAAAAAGGGTTCTTTTTAAACAGTTTCTTTGAGGACAAAGGGTAGGGCAGTTCGTGTCCCGTGACTGGACCTTCTTGTGCGAGGGATGAATCTGACATACGGAGGAGAGTCCGAGTGTCCGAAAGCCACTCGCTCCTTCCTAAACATTGCAGAAGGGCAAAGAGATACGGTTACGTTAACACTTTATTTTATTGTTCGTGTGTAATGGCAGTATATACGGGCGTATATCAATATCACATATACATATTTGTGAGAGGAAACCGTGTCACAGAGAGAGAGAATTTTCTGACCGAAGTTATAATGAACACCAGTTAATGAAGAGCAATAAAATAAAGTGTCGTCAGCTTGTACTTCCCACACTGCAGCGTTCTGGTGGCCAGACAGTATGAGCATCTCCAGAGATCACACATGCATAGTGATTGTGACCTACAGTATTATTTCATTAAAAAAAAAATCCAACCCATTCAGAGAATTTCTTGATAGCAGCAGTTCTGAAGTGTTTCAACAGAGACTTCTACCCCCTGCACAAAGAGTTTTCTACTCAGCTGACTTCCACCGCTCAATAAATGCCTTCTCCCCAAAACACCTGCATGAAATTGTCTCAGAAAATGCAGCTGCAATGTAACAGTGGGCCATGTTACATGTTTAAAAAGAGGGATGCGTTTGGAAGGCCAGAACTTTGGCAAAAATATATTTACCTTGAAGCCAGCAGTGTGCAAGGCTTAATTAAACTACTTATTACAGTCGGTAACAAAATACAGAGTCTCTACTAATTACCACGTGGAAAGAGGCACACAGAATAATTCATTGATCTGAGCACTTTCAAGAGATGATGATGTTTTTTTTTTTGGGTACATGTAAACGTTTCAATCATTGATAATAAAAAAATTTTTTTTTGGCATTTAATGCACTAGATGCTCTTATCTTTAAAAACACAAGAAAATGTCAGAAGATTAATAATACTACAGATGTTGCCAAGGGACGAGACTGACCTAAAAATTACAAAAGTATAAAACACACAAAAAAAATAACATGCTACAAGGGAAAATTAGTACTTAAGTACATTTAAAAAATTTTACAATAAATAAAGATTGCACTGTAATTGGCATTTAAAGTACTGTATGCAGAATATAGTATAAATAAACCAAAAACAAAATAATGTTGGTTTCCCCATGACTTTGGTATGGGAATATTATAAGCTAGTAACAGGATACTGCATCTTAGACAACATAGACCAAGCACAAAATAGCTATGATCAAGAAAAACCAAGTAGCAAAAATATACAAAAACAGAAGCAGGGGTCCCACTGTGTCTGCTGCACCCTTTTGGAATATATTTGCACCTCCAACTCGTAAATGTCCCTGAGGTACTCGAACATTATGGACTTCATATAAATAATCCAATGACTTGGGTTAAAACGGATTATCTCATGACTCAAAATAACATGCAAGAGTAACATTTTGCACTCCAATAGCACCTGTTGGTCAAAGATCTCAAAGCACTTACAAACATTAGAATCCCCATTTTATTTCATTTTATTTTTCATGCATGGAAAAACCGAGGCACAGAGAGGTAAAGTGACGTGTTTCAGGTCACGCAGCAAGTTAGTGACAGACCCGGGGAGAGAATCTCAGCTCCTTGCCCCCTCAGACCACCTATGCTTACCCCCAAATACCACCCCTCTCTCTCCGTGGCCAGAGAACCCCACAGAGATAGAAACTACAAATTAGATGACTCTCTTTTCGGGTTTCTCAATTTCATCTGCTGTTACATTAGCATTACGTGCACTGAATTAAGGTACTGAAATTCAATCACTTCCTTGATACCTCAAAGAACAGCCTAAAGGCAAAAACCTTTCAGAACTAATGTGCTGATGCGTAAGAAGATTGCTCACAATTAGTGGAAATCGTGGACAATGGGCAGAGGCACTGAACTGCCACCAGTTCTCGTCATATAAATCTGGTCAAACGTAACAGAATATAATAACTCTAGTGATTAGATCAGAAGTAGTTATATACAAAGACAAACAAGTTAAAGCAGCTTTAAAAATAGCTGAACAAAGAAATACCTAGCTATTGCACAATGCCCTCTTAACGTTACTGCTATGAGTGGATATGGTAAAATCTACAATGCGCCGTAATGTCTAGGTGCATTTTGGTTACTTGATTTCTTATACAGGCAGCTCATAGTGTTAAAATCATAGGAAATACAGAGTATTAAAACGTTTTAGATGAAGGTACACATGTTGACTTAAATGAGCTAAACACGGATAGATAACTGAGTGACCACATGGCTGTGTAGGCAGCCTCATCTAAGGGGACACATCTTCGTATGCTGCTGTTCTGTGGCAATACTCTGACGACACTGACATCGTAGCCCTGCAATGACACACACTGTGACTCATGTTTATAGATGCAGGTGATCGAGACATAGGAAGTGACTGATGAATATAAATTACTAAACTGTACTGAAAAAAATAACCAAAGGCTTGCAGAAGACATCAGTGAAAACAGAAAAAAGGCAAATCTGAACAATTTAAAAGAAAACATAAAAAAGCTAGCTTTTGGTGTCTGGTTTGCTTTTCTTCTTCTTCTTCTTCTTCTTTTTTTAATCCAGTTTAACCTCTTCCTAGTTTTGCATTACAAAAAGGTGCACCAAAACACTGACATTGTTTTTCCTAGCTATGTCTGTAAAACAAGAGAAGTATATAAATCAAAGAACAAAAGGACTTAAAAAGGGGAGTATTTGAATAAATGTGTGTATTAAAATGTGTAGCATTAATTAAACTCATACCTCTAGTTCGGTGGGGTTTGTTTACTTCATTAAGAAGTATTGTAATATAAAGGCGAATAAAATGGACAAAGTGGCAAAGCCAAGCACAATGAGGGCTGCAAACTGTTCATCAGTAGGCATCATGCTCTTCATCTTGGGATCGTCTAAGCTCCCCATGTCCCCTGGAAGCATGACCTCACTTCGCTGTAATACAAACGCTGCAGAGGGGCTGAAAGCTCCGCTTAGCTCCTGAGAAGTGTCCAGACAGCGACGACATGCACACACGCGGAACCGGTAGTCTGCGTTGGTCTGGAGGCCTGAGATTTGGAATGTGGTTTCTTCTCCCTTGTACACCTTCAAGAAAAGGCAAGATCCGCGTGAGCTGACTTTCGACACATTGTGGTCTCTAAGGTGAACATCAACCACTGGGGGCCTCGTGGACACTGAGTTGGTTTAATGCCACTCTATAACTAAGAAAATGATACAAAAAGGTCTATCTCCCCATCTGTATTTCATCCATTAACAAAAAGGTATTCCACCCCACGCTGCATAAAACATGAAATCCAGTGACTCTGACTATGACAGACGGAGATGAGAAACTGACTAGTGAGTCGGCCGCCGTTCCTTCGATTCTGATTGCAGTTCTACTCTGCCTGTGTCTCGATCGATCCACCAAAGACCTTTCCGATCACTCCACTTGGCTCCTCCTACTCTGCAGAAAAAGCAGTGACTTTTATTTCGATGCTATGGAAAACAGTTCCAAGGCTGAATTTGTGCCAAAGGCTTGGGCAGAGTTTTTGTGAAGTGGCCTCTTCGTTTCTGCCATCAAATTGACTTGGAAGCAAAAGGGGAAAAAAAAAAAAAAAAAAAAAAAGGCCCATCGCCATAGTGATTAGAGACTTTCATAAAGTGGGTGTCTGTTTTGAAAATCCATGCTGTGCCCCACAAAGATGTACAGCAATTAAACAGAAGTGAGGAATTATAAAATAAAATAGAAAATAAAAAATATATAAATGTATATTTATATCTATGTAAATAATTTCTATGGTCTCCAGAATTTACATGTCTATATTCTTTTAAGACAGTGTGCCCAGGGGGTACACTTAATTTCCTAGAAACCTAACTCAGGGAATCGAGACTTCATATATTACTTTTGATGGAACTTCTCAGTTCTCAACTCCTTAGAGGGAAGACCTCTGAGAATGTACAGAAGGCAAAGGGTACACGCCTTCTGTCTCCCAGCAGGCTCCGGGGCTGGAGAGTGCACTGTGGGGAGACCAGTTCTTTGAGGCTGTGCTCCGAGACAGGGTTCTGGGATTGCCAGGGGCACGTGCTCATCGCCCGGGGTAAGGCTGGGGCGGTCACAGTGTCAGGACTCGGCTGGGGTGCTGTCTCTTTCTCTCTCGCTTGCTTGTATAAGAAAACAACTTTTTTAAAAAGTTGGGTTTTCAATTTGTAAATATGTCTTTCAGCTAGTATTTCACAAGCATTGCCAACACAGTGTCAACATCTTTTTTCCCCCCTACATATAAAATACATACATATATTGAGTGTGGGACTGTGTTCTGTTGTCTCCATAGCAACCAGACTTCGTCAATGGCTTGACACAGCAGATGCTCAGTGAATGTTCTCTAACTAGTGCCTTCGACTACACCAGAATGAATACTCTTATACCACATCGTTTGAAAGGAGGAGGACAGTTATCACATACAAGTAAATGTGAGCATGGAGCACCGACACCCACACGCAAACACAGAGGTAACCGCCGGGCACAGCCAGACTGAGGAGGCGGGATCAGGACATAAGTTGTTTTCACCGTACTGATAGAAAATACAAAGTTCAGCGATATTCATAAGCCCTTTGAATTAATTTGTAGATATGCAACAATGAAAACATTCCTAGTACCCATTTTCGGAGGCTTTTGGCTTCCTACGGTTTGATGATAACTGACTCGCTTTGGTGTGAATCATCAGTTTCCACAGAGCTGACACAGTTTTCCTCATTCCCCATGTTCTCCATGATACTGGGCTGTAGCCCGAGGATGTTTTGTTTTACATAGATTATCATTAAAAATGTACGTTTAATGGGGGCCAGCAGGTAGCATGGTGGTTAAGGCGCTGGACTCATACTTGGTTGACCGTGGTTTGAGTCCCAGACCTGGCAGCTTAAAATCATGCCAGGTGCATGTGTGTGGGTTATCCAAATCCCAGGAAGAGAATGGAGAAGGGATTGTGGCATGGCCATTCACCCAGGAGGGGGGGGTCATTTCTCCCTTTCCCTCTCGCTGTCTCTGTCTCTCTCCAGCAAGTGCACGTGCACTATGGCAAAAACCTTAATATATATGTATATGTGTGTGTGTATATGTGTGTACATACATGTATATATACATAAATAATGCTTTGCACAAGAATAGCAAGGACAATGCTAAAGAAGAAAAGAACGTGTGTGGTGGGTGAGGCAGGGAGCTGGCCCTGCAGGTTCTGAGACATGGTATAATCAGGACAGTGTGCCATGGTAAATTGTGCAGTGGAGGGCAGACCAGCAGCAGGGACAATAAGAAGGCCACTGCGTGAGACCCTGTAGCTGCTGAGTCTCCAGAGAACTGGGCACCTAGGCAGGCCGCGGGGAGACCTCTCGCAGCAGTGGGTGACGGAGAGGCTGGATTTGGTCAGCTGGCTCAGAGCGGAACGCTAGCACCACTGCAGCTGGGCCTTATTTCATTTTTGATGTAGGAAAAAAAAATAAGCCTACATAAACTATCTTCATTTTAGCAATTGATAGTATTTTTAAGTAGATATCAAAGAAAAAAAAAAGGTGAGTAGTTCTGAGGTACCCTTAATACTAAAACTTGCTGTACCCTTCTCTCTCTTCAGATGCGTAAGTGTTGGGGTGCAGCCTCTTCAGAGCGCACCTTCCTGGGCTTTGATTCGAACACAGCACACCAGCAGATTCACATGGCCACTGTGGTGAGGCTGATCCCATCTCCATGGAGAACAGTGAAGATTTTCCCAGAAAAACATGACAAAATTTCAGGCTCAGAGAAAAAAAGGGTGATGAGCTTTAAATGAAACTTAATGTCTTAATTCTTTTAATTGCCAAAGGGTATTTGCATGAGACAGAGAGATGACAGAGACAGAGAGAGAGAGAGAGTGTCATGATCAAACGCAACCCCTTCTCCCTTTCCCCATCTGGTCAGGACTCGGGGTACACACAAGCCCCTGGGATGTCTCTCAAGCCTCCGAGGCCAGGATCCAAGCAGTGGTCAGCCATGTGCTATCAGGTTTTCTATATCTAGCATTTAAGTGCTGAGTTATGGGCTGGTCCTCAATATTTTTTTTTTAAACTAAATAGTTGGACACAGAATAAGCTAATCATACTTTACATAACTAAATGAAAATGCATATGGAATTTATTACTTTTATAAACCTGTGTTATAATCGATGGGAATTTAAATAAAACCTATCAGCCTTGAAAGCCCTAGATGGTATTAAGTCACCCAAAAGCACTGAAAATCAATTCAACATCTTTAACACCTGTGCCTCGAAGGGCACCCTCAAGTTTTCACAGGTGAGAAACAAACCCCTAAAACCAAGACAATACTGATTCTCATAGGCCTGTTGGTAAGGGTGAGTGGGGTAACAGGATGGTGTCCGGCACGGATAGGCATATAAGGCATGGCAGCACGAAAGCGCGTTAGTCAGGAGCACTGCACCGCGACGGGCCTGACACTCCCCTGGTCCCTGTGCAAGAGTCCGAAGCACCACCATCAGGCCAATGCTTGGCACCAGGAGCCCCACGGCCCGTGACATAGGGCACTTGCAGGAGTCGGTCAAAGGGGAGACCCCACGACACGGGCCTGGCGTCTGCCACATGTCTACGGGTACTCACAGCCCAGTCACCCTTAGGAGCCGAGGCTGCCACAGGTCCACAAGGTCATCAGGCCTCCACAGCTGCACCCCACTGGGGCCACTTTCCTGGGGCTGTGTAGCTCTGCGCCTCCGGGCAGCCGGCCACGTCTCCAACCCCTCCGTTCTCACTCATTCTGACAGGGGCACCATTACAGGCCTTTCCTCCTGCTGCAAGCCGATTTCAAAGGCAGAGCTCCACTTGAGATGTTCTTTATTGCAGTAACCAATCATAATATTGCAGTAAGTGTATACGCAATAGTATTTTCGCCAAGACTATTTCTGTTCTTGATTTAATGAATAATATATTTTAAAGAGATTTTGACATGTTTATTCCAAACAGGAGGATTTAAAGTAATATCTAGATAAATGAAATGAAGAATCCATGACGCTTAATTCAGAATAACATGCTGTGCAGTTGAAATTCTTTAAATAACACAGTTGAGCTTTGTCGAGAGGGCTGCTGAGAAGGCAGCCTGGAAGCTGTGGGGCTTACCTGTGCCCCTTGATCATGCCACCCTCCCTGAGACCTGGGGCCATGTCACCCTCCCTGAGACCTGGGGCCATGTCATCATTTACACAGCTGCCCTAACTGAATGGGTCTGGCACAGTGATCATCTGAGTTGAAGGATTATCACCCATCCTACAAGGAGAGAGGTGAGGCCCGGTGAGGTGAGCTACCTCCTCCACTACCCCAGGACTGGGGGAGGCAGACTGTGACCCCCCGGCCTTCAACAGACAGGCCTACGCGGCTGAGGGCCCGCGGCTAGGCAGGGGGCTCCGTCCTGGAGCCGAGGCGAGCAGGCCCGGGCTCTGAGACTGCACTACTGCTGCTCTATGAGAGGCTTATTGAGGGGCCAGCAGATGGCATAATGGCTATGTCAACGGACCCCCATGTAGTCGACCACGGTTTGAATCCCAGACCTGGTGACTTAACATACTCATATGTGCGTGTGTGGCCAAGATCCTGAGAGGAGAATGGAGGAGAAGAGGTTGTGGTGTGGCCAAACTCCCTGGAGGGTGATTTCCCACCATCTGTCTGTCTGTCTGTCTCTCCAGTGCGCATGCACATCCGATAGACTGCTTAATAATGAAAACCAGGTGCTGGCCCCACACTGTGCTAACTGAATAAAAGAAAGTTACGGAGCGAGGACCAGGCAGTCGCTACTGCCAATAAAACACCAGGAAGGGCACGACCCTCGCCATACGCCGTCTGGGGAGAAGGACACCCTCTTATTATGGGTGAATTCGTTTTGTTTTTGTTTTCTTCCACCTCAGTTATAAACATTGCTTCTAAATCCATCCTGTGCTGAAGTCTACTCACCACCATGGGCGTCAATAGCCCTGCTACGTAGAAACGTCCCTTTCCTGAACATACTGGTTGGGTCCCCACTACGCGCCAGGCCGAGGAGCGATGAGGGCGCGAGCCCACCTGTTGGTGACGCTGTCTGATGAGGGCCCTGACCGAGGTCTGCAGAGCAGCGCGAGAGCCCGGCACTCTGGCACGCTGACACAGCCATGACGGCTCGCGTTTTCCTTCACTTCCCCCCGAGCCTGTTATCCTTGGACTACAACAATCTCAGCCACTGTTCTGTACACACAACGTAGATACGTTTCCTGCCACATCTCATGTCCAGAAGACGCGAATGTGGGCCTCACAACGTGTGTAGTTGATGCTTACTGAATGCAGAGAGGCAAAAGCAGAAACGAAAGCAAGGACAGACTGGCCCTGACTCGGCTGTGGTTTCCATGTGCTGCTTGCCTTCTTCAGTTCTTGGCAGATACAGAAAATGTAGAGGCAGAGAAGGATATTCCCAGCCTCCCGAGCCTGCCCTGTCCTACTGTGTGTCACCAAGAAGCACCGTTTATGGCTGCTGACAGTAAGGCAGATATTCTGTGCAGACTTAGGGCTGTGCACGATTACCTTAGTGTTTATGTGTCCGTGGGGCTAAATAAACAACAGTAAGTGAACGGAATGAAAACAGCCAGTCTGCCGGTGGAAATCCACATTACGAAGCCGCTCACCCATATTTTGGCAATGCCTGTTAGGTATAAATACTGAGCAAACCAAGCTGCCTTCCCAGGGTGAGACAGCAGCCGCTGTTCTCTGAGAAGAACAGTCTCCCAAGAGTGCACAGGAGAGTATGGAATGTGGAATAAAAGGCTTTAAAATACAACGATAAACAGGCATGAATGCACTTTCGGGAAACGAATTACTGTGAGGTGTCAAACAATACGCTGTGAAACCGCCTAATACTTGAGTCTCCACCACCTTTCATTGCTGTGGAACAGACCATGCTAAATCTGGGGTCAGCAGATGGCATACTGGTCACGACGCTGGACTCCCACATGGCTGACTGCGGTTTGAGTCCTGGACCCGGAGGGTTTAAACACACCGGGTGTGTGTGCATGAGTGCGTGCCCAAAATCCTGAGAGAAGAATGAGGAGGAGAAATTACAGTGTGGTCATTCCCCCTGGGGAGGGAGGTGATTTCTCACTTTCTGTCTGTTTCTCTTTGGCGAATGTACAGGCTCTATAGCAAAATTTCTCTCTCAAAAATAAGTAAGATTAAAAATAACTAAATCGAGTGGGGAAAATTCTCTGCTCTCTGTTTGAGCAGAGAGCCTGAAGCTGATCAGATCTTTCTGGGAAGGTGAGACACGCTCACGTGAAAACATTTATTCTGAACTCGCACACGCAGCATGAACCGAGCCTGGACGGTCTCACGGAAAGCGTGGTGTTTCTGTCCCACCTAAAAGGAGCGATGGCGACTTCTGTGATATTCACCTACTGACGTGACCCGATACTGGCAGATGTCATCTTTAAGAAAAGTTTTTGCAAAATGTATTGACAATGATTTCCTTTTATCTGACACCTCACATCAACAAACGAACACATGATGTCCAAAATTTTCTTTGATTTTTTAAAGATGTATTTTACTCGCATTCTTTACTATTACACAAAAAACACCAACCATCAATTTAAGGCTCTGAATCAAATTATTTTCTCCTCATCTTGTGTATGTAAGCCTTAACAACTGAATAAAGACATCTGTGCAAATGCTGCTAATGTTTCAGATAGGTCGCATTTATCTTCGGCTTTTATGAGTTACCTATAAATGAATGTCCCTATTAAAGGTGCTGCTAAGAAATGGCCCTTTGCGGGACCAGCCGTTGGCGTACTGGCTAT